ACTAGCCTGGCTTCCAGGGTCCAATCCTGTGTTCCCCAAGCATGGGAATATGTCTTGGGTTAGTACTATTCAATAATTTTATTAATGAAATGGGAATTCTTGGGGCATGCAGGATCAGGCCCCCGAAGCCCCACACCTGTCTGTGGTGGTTTGAAAGTGGGAATAGCTCAGAACTCCCACTATTCTGCCATAAAGCAAACAGACATCTGCCACAGTAAAACAGAACAAATGTATGCTACCTTTTGTTGCAGCCACAAGTTTGGGCTTCTGTGCTGTGACAAAAGGCATAGATATTTGTTTGCTAGGCATATGTGCTGCCGTAAAAATTTGCACAAAGACACAAAGGCAGCATCTCTTTCCAGCCACACGTGTCTCCAAAATCTCTCCATTGCCTTCCTGAGTATCTCAGGTGCCTCTCTAGGCCATTTTGAATCACTGCCCTAGGGCAGGTGATCAAAAGTTAAGTGAATGCATGCCGAAGTCAAGGCGCTACTTACACAAAATGAATCTGTATTTATTTTTCAAAATAATATGATCCAAGTCTTACGGGTCCATTAATGAAAATACAGAATCAGTTAGAAGATTACATTCAGAAGATTCAGATTATTATTAAAAATAATGTATGCCAAGATAATGTGCTTGACTAATCATATTAAGATTTTAAGATTCAATGAATAATTTATTCTCTGTTGCTGTTGCAGACTTAAAGACCCAAAGTCTCTGAAGAATGAATGAAATTCAGGCTGCCTGTTGGAATAATACACCTGACTTGTTTAACAAATCTTGGAGTGGAGGTCATTACTATCAGGTGATCAGTGCAGCAGAAACAATTATCCTTCCTTCTCTAATTGGGATTATCTGTTCTACTGGTTTAATTGGAAATATCCTCATTGTGATCACTATAATAAGGTATGGAATATAGCATACGTTATGCAACAGTGGTTAACTATTGCAAAAATATATAAATAATTTAAGGCAGGGGTCAGGAACATATACTTAGTGGGCTAGATCTGGATCCACTGAGAGCCACTAGATCTGGCCCTAAGAGCTGCAGGCCTTTGCCTGTGCTCATGCCCACACTGGGGCTGAGCACAAAGAAGCTGTGCTAGGATCAAGGAGCTAAAAGTTGTGCCCATACCACTGCCACTTTTCCCTGTCCCCCTCCCCTTTCTCCCTCCCAAACTGTGCTGTGAGTTCAGCTTCCAGCCAGAGGGGAGGTTCCACCCTAAAGCTAATTGATACAAAACCTGATGCCTTTATGTCTTCTATTTTTTCTTCAAGAGAAAAATAGAAGACATAAAGGCATCAGGTTTTGTATCAATAGAGGACAGAGGACAAACAGATTGTCCTCTATGATGGCCAACCTAAGCTTCACTGGGACCAGAGATGGTGGGAGAGCACTGGGGTGGAGGAGAAGTGGCAGCAGTGTGGAAGCAGCTTCTAGCTCCCTGGCCCAGGTGCAGCTCTGTTCTGGGCAGGAGCTACATTTGTGCCACTGCTGATTCTCCCAGCCCCTGGGCTTCCAACCTATGGTGTGTTCACAGCTTCCACTTGGAAGGGAACTGCACTGGGATGTTACATAAAATAGAATACATTTATTTAATTATTATCTATTTATTTATTTCATTATTTATTGTATTCATGTTTATTTCATGATTTACTTGGTACATGAATATTTCCTTAGTCATTTTAAGATTTACTTCTGTCAAAGCAAATTTCAGAAAAAAGAATGTCAATATATGTCTCCAAAATCTTTCCATTGCCTTCCTGGGTATCTCAGGTGCCTCTCTAGGCCATTTTGAATCACTGCCCTAGGGCAGGTGGTCAAAAGTTAAGTGAATGCATGCCAAAGTCAAGGCGCTACTTACACAAAATGAATCTGTATTTATTTTTCAAGATTTCAGAAAAAAGAATGTCAATATATGCTTTGGTCCATCCCTTCTTAGGAAACAGTGTAAGTGCCTGCTTCACTTCCCCCCATGTTTATTCAGTTCAGAGGCACATGTCAAAGACCCTTTCCTGAAGGGATGGGGGGCTTTATTAAAACCCTGTCTTGCTCCCACTGAAGTAAATAACAAAAGTCCATTGGTTTTGATGCAATTTATATATGGCCTTAAGCTTTATCTCCTGCAGTGCTTCTCAAACTTTTCTGCAGCATGACTCCATTTATGCCTCCATATCCTCAGCATGGCCCCTCACTCCCAACCCTAGCCCCTCACCCCCATGACTCCATCTGCTGATGTTGCGACCCCATTTGGGGTTGCAACCCACAGTTTGGGAACCACTGATCTACTCTTTTAGTCAATATTTCTACCAGTTCTACTCTATTTAAAAACAATGCAATTTGGATCAGCAACCAGTCCCCTCACCCAGCAGAAAATCTGGGCAAGAGCTCACTACTTTGTGGATGTGTCTACACAAGACACTTTACTCAAGATTAAAGCACATTATTGCACAGTAAGCATCACCATCTACATATTCAGATGCTTACTACAGAGTAATTGCCTATAATCACAAGTAAATTTGCTACCTGGAAATACAAGTAGCAAATTTACTACTGATTACTTACTGCACAATAGAGCACGTGTAGATGGCAGACTGGGAGCAAATGTGCTTCTGGTCACCCAGGCAGCAGGGGGCAGGATATTTTTTCCTGCCCCCAGAAGCTGTCTGATGCCAGGGTGGGCTCCGCCATCAGAGCCTGGGCAGGGAGCTACCAGTCCCTGCTTCACAATCGTGATCACAGTTGTGTAGAGAGGGCTGGGAGCTCCCTATTGCTGAGGCAGTGTCCCAGCCCCTGCCAGAAGACAGCTGTCTCTGGTCCCAGGGCTCCCTGTCAGGCTGGGCTAGTGCAAGGGCTGGTGCAGGGGTGGGAGCAGACTGCTGCCATGAGCAGCAAATCTGCTTCCATTTTCCCACAGATGTAGATGCCTGCCTGGGATGGGTTTACACTAGAGTAAATTTACTGTAGTGTAAACCCACCCTGGAGCATTTGCATGTGTAGATGTGCCCTGTAATGTTTAAGCAAAAAGCATAACTGCAAATTTCATTTGCAAGTGGAACATGTTTTCTTGAACAGAAATAGACTCAAGGAACCAAAAACCTTATTCTGAGATTTGTTTTAATGAAATAATATTTTTAAATATTTAAAAATAATCAGTCGAAACATGCTTTTGTCTCTTGAATATTGTCTATTGGTCTAAGATTATGTTTTATATCATGCCAATATCTAGACAATGTTGATTTACAAAGGTCTCCTAGGATTACCATTTTTTCTTCAGTATGACCCTAATGTGGAGACAAGAGCTTAGGCAGCACTTGGGAATGCTCACAGGCCAGTAGAGGCTAGCTAAGCAGCCTAGATCAGGGGTTTTAAACCCACCCCACCTCACAAAGTTGTATCTGGACCATCAAGCTCTTCATGGATTGGATCTAGATGCTGCCGCTGCAGCAGGATGAGCAGTAGCAGCCATGGTGTGGTGAGCAGTAGTAACAGCTGCCACTTGCTCTTCACCATTATGTCCACCCTGCTTGCCCTATCCTTAAATTCTTAACCCCTCTATGAGCCCCATGGACCAGACAGTACAGCTCTGTGGGCTATAAATTCGACACCCCTGACCTAGACAGCTGCCACTTTAGGACAACTTTTCTGTGTTCTAGCTACTAACATTGCATAGCTGCCTTACTGAACCACAGAATTGACTTCTGTGCATCAAAAACATTTTCTAGTTTTCTGATTTTTATCAGCAGGTTTTTTTTGTTGGAGGTCTCAAACTATCTGGTTCTACCACAAGCTCTTGGGTTAATAGACATATTCCCTAGAAGCTGATTTTTAACTGTGTAATGGTATCGTGAATTGATCATAAATGTTATGGTTTATGGCTAATACACTTCACCATCAGCAAGATTTAATAAATAGGTACAATGGATGGGTAGATTCTCAAAGGCACAATGGGGATTAGGCACCTAACTGATCTTTGTGCCTTTGAAAAAAATCCCTTAATTGCTTATAATCCAGTGAATATTGCACAAAAGCTGACACCAAAAGCAGCTTACAGCTCTACTAAGAAGAATAATTATGGAAATAGAATTTGTCTAGTATGGATATGAAGTGAATAAGACTTTTTAAATGAATGAATGGACATACAGAACGATACATTTCTTTCAGCAGCTAAAATTAGTTATGCAATCTTAGGAAAAGAAATGAAAAGGAACAAAATTATCTCCCTCCCATGAACAGCCTTTGTCATGCCCTTGGCATGAAGTAAAAAATCATAAAGACAGATAAGAATAAGGAAAGACTAGTTTTAAGAAGAAAAAAAAAACAAGGTTCACACTAAAAAAATTAAATATTACGATTCATGACAATGAATGTTTACATGCAGGGTTTGAAAACAATGCATTTGAAAATTTAATGAGGTAATTTTTGGCATTGACTGAGATCAGCAAAAATTATGTGCCCAGGGTCATATGTGCTTTCTTTATTGAACAGAGGTTGGGTTTTTTTTGGTTAACATGAAAGTCTATTCTTCAAAGAGAGAGCAAGCTGAATTCTGTCCCTGCTTAGGTACTATTTGAAGGGTTGTTCACATGGAGATGTGTGACCTAGAAAGAATCCTGGATTTCATACTGCAGATTAATATTACAGAGCCTGTAAGGGTAGTTGATTGAGCTGGACTTCCCTTAGAGACAGTAGCTGTGCTTCCACATTGAAAGCATCCAGAAATGCACTGGGTAACTTTTATCCCAAAATAATGGAGAGTAGAGATTTATTGTACCACAGTTAAAAAAAAAAGAAAAAGAGATAAAGAACTTTCTGAGCACAGGTGGGAAGTTCAAAGAGCTCAACAGGGCAACTGGCCAGTCTGTGTCCTAGGATTCTGAAAGAATTGGCACATAAAGTCACGGGTATGAACACAAAGGGTTTTTAATAAATCTACTGAGGGGGCTCTGCTGCAATGTGAATGGAAAGTAACAAAGGTAATAGCTATCTTTTAAAAAGGGATAAAAGAAATCTGGCCTGTTAGTCTAACTTCAAGGGTACGCAAAGCTTTACAATAAATTCTGAGGGACAGGATAGAGGAAAGGAGGTAAATAGGGTAAAAAAAACAAAATAGGTATAAGCTAAATGTTTATTTAGGGTGGAAATAAAAAGAACCATCTGAACAATGAAGGTGTGATGGCAAAATGTGACAGCAATGGTGAGATGCTGATGGAGCTTGATCAATCTATAAAAACTATTGCATGAAGTAGAGGCCTGCAACAGCAAGGTCTGGAGTTGACGTTCCAAGCATCCCTTACAGTCCTATGTTTTTTTGATGAAGGAAAAGGGTGGAATTATATAATTGGCATGTAGGCTGTCTGAATTGAATTGCTGGCTCTTTGTTTTTCAATGAGATGGAAGAGATGGGCAATTCCTCTGCATCAAGAGAGAGCTAGTATGGGATGTCTGTTTCTCTTGCCTTTATTTATAATTATTTTCAAAAATAGAAACAATGATAATGTTATCATTATATAAACAATGATAATGTTATAATCACAATATTTTTCATGCATTGCATCAATATAATACGTAATGGATATGGGTAAAGGTTTTCTAATTGGTCTATGAGTTAAAGTCACTCCTGGTAGGGAGTTGTCTGAACAAGAACATCTTGGGCAAAGTTATCAAGCTATCAATGAAAAGACATACCAACAAGTTAGGTAGTTTAAATATTTCAGAGCAAGGGGACACAGACATTCAGGCCCATTCTCTAATTTATGGTGCTTTACATAAAGTGCCATGAGTTAGAGTCCTGCCCCCCCCCCTCTCCCCCCCCCCCCCCCCCGGACCAAACAGATGTTTGCCTGTTGGCTGCTGGGATTGAACCTGCCTGCACTGGCCCTTCTGGCCAGCAGGCTTCCAAGGA